TTGCTGCCCCAGTGCAGAATGATCAGATGGCTGACCTGCGAGACTTGGTGGGTTCTCTCGCCAGTACCAGTGCTCAGAAGTTCAACACCTTTGAGCAGTTCATGGAGAAGGCCTCGGGGAAACTACTGGCTCTCGAAGCTGGTCAGAGGAACACCCAGGCTGTTTTGCAGGATATCCAGACCCAGCTGGGGAGCGTGGCCCAAGCAGTGGCTCAAAGGGCGCCTGGTACTCTACCAGCGCAGACCATCCCTCACCCGCAGACCCCGGATGAGCGGGTCAATGCCATCATGACCAGGAGTGGCAAGCTGACTGTCGATCCCCCTGCTCGGGAACCGGAGAGAGAAAGCCCTGTTGCAGCATCTCCGGCGGTTGATCATGAAGTAGAGAAGGAGGTTGAGGTGCCTGCACCTAAACCGCAACCAGTAGTGAAGGAGTATGTCCCTAAACTCCCTTTCCCTACTCGGTTGCACAGAGACAGGCTGGAGACAGAGTTCGAGAACTTCATGGCCATGCTCAAGAAGCTGAATGTCCAAGTGCCCTTCCTGGAGGCACTATCGCAAATGCCGAAGTATGCGAAGTTTATGAAAGAGCTTCTCTCAAAGAAGCAGAAGCTGAATGAGCTGGCCACCGTGGAGCTCAGCGAGGAATGCTCGGCTATTCTGCAGAACAAGCTTCCGCAGAAGAAAAAGGACCCAGGTAGCTTCACTATCCCGTGCTCTATTGGTAAATTGCATGTAGAGAAGTCCTTGGCGGATTTAGGTGCTAGTATCAATGTTATTCCATATAAATTGTTCATGAAACTAGGCCTAGGTGAACCCCGTGCTACTAGGATGACCCTTCAATTAGCTGACAGATCGGTAGTGCATCCTAGGGGTATAGTGGAAGACCTTCTGGTCAAGGTTGGCAAATTCACATATCCTGTGGATTTTGTTATCCTGGACATCAGTGAGGACACAGAAGTGCCTCTTATACTGGGAAGGCCTTTCCTGGCCACCGCCAAGGCTCTCATAGATGTGCATGATGGGACCTTAGTTCTGAGGGATGGCGAGGAGCGAATAACATTTTCTGTTGCTAACACTATACCTGTTTCGTTACCTCTGCATGCTGTCTCTCACCAGGAGCACGAGTCTGTCGTGTATCCTTCTGTGCTGCCTGTTTTGCAGGACCCGCCTCTCACACCTTCGCCGCCACTCCGGACCACTCCATCATCCAAAGAACAGGTCAAGGAGGAGTGGCGGCCGAAACAGCAGGCAGCTAAGCCTGCTCGAAAGAAAGTCAGAGACCACTATGAGCTGGTCCCGCCCCCACCTTGGCCATCCGAGTATTCACTCGCTTGCATCTTACCGGATGGCCAAGTCGAGCTGGCAAATGCTGGTGGCCACATTCGTCGCGTGCATGGCCACCATTTGAAGCTGTACCTCAAGAGCGATGTGGATCCGCTCTTGAAGGCACCTGATCCTACTCTTCTCTGAGCATCCATACTGGCGTCCAGCTAAAAGACGGTAAAGAAGCGCTTGTGGGGAGGCAACCCCACCAAGGTTTGTTTTTCTTTCGTTTGTTTTTGTCGGGTTGTCCACTTGGAACTATGGTTTCTATCACCCAGTGTGTTTTGCTGATGCTAGCCCCGCCGACTGGTCCACTTCCAGTCCCCCAGCAGTGTTCTTATCCGGTAACATCGTTCCCCTTATCTTTCCCTCTACTCCATTGAGGGCAATGTCGTGCTTAAGTGTGGGGGGATGTTTTGTATCGGTTGGAATATTTTAGATGGTGCTTGGAGCCTAGTCCACTGTCCGAATCTTACGATTTGAGGGCTCCAAGTACTGCTGTTTGATCATATTGGCACTGTGTTTTGATTGATGAATTGATTGGTTTTCGGATTAATGCATGACAACCTGTTTGCGACTAGGACAACCTATGATGAGGACTGAGATGTGCAGTAGAGCGATGTAGGGGTTCAGTTTTTCGACTGTTTGCTTGCCAAATCTGACTTGATCTGATTACTTGTTCTTGACAGTCGTTTATGCATCTAGTTCAGGGTATCAGAATGTGAGATAGATCATATAGGTAGCCATGTGAGATTTGAGCCTGCTCGTTTCTTTCTTGTGCGATAGATCCCTCTTCCATGATGTGTAGCATTCACGTTGTCACTAGCTAAGATGATGGGGGCATAGGATTAGCCCACGCCCAAAACTGACTGTCCTGATGTGTCATATCCCCTAGTCAGCCCCTTTGAGCCGTGTGTTATCCTTTCTTTTGGTCTATAATGAAACAAATCACCCTTGTTGCATCTTTTAGAAGGTTCCACAGAGTGGTTTTTATATATTCTCTGCTGTTTCTGCTAAAGTCTATGTGAGTGTTGGAGGTAGTGCTTAAAAGTTGGGCAGGTGTTTGAAATTTATGCAGAAGTGGTGGCTCTCTTAAGAAATGAAAAGAAAAATGAAAGAAAAACAAAGAAAAATTGAAAGCAAAAGAGAGCCACTACCAAAAATCTGAATAATGCCCAGTAAGTAGTGTTTCTTAGCAGTCTGGCTTGGAAATGCTGATGTTTATGCCTCCTTCGCTCTTGTGCTCGTAAGATATTGAGTAATGCAGAATAGCAGAAAGAAAATACCAGGTTGTTTGACTGTGATTGTGTTTTTGGAAAATGTGGAACCTTTTGCTATGAATACTTCCACCACCTAAAAGGCCTTTTTTCCCATGTCCAAGACCCTAGCCAGTCATTTGAACCTGTGTCTAAGACCTCCTGATTAGTTAGTGGTGACACCCCATATGTGAACTCTAGCATTTAGAGGCTGCCATCATGGTGAAGAGATGATAGGTATTGAGAGAAATAGCATGCGCATCTTTCGCATCAAATTGTCCTGACCCCACTGGTCGAGAGTGAGTGATTCATTGTCATATTCTCTATACTCTTGTACCCCGGTGAGGACCTAGATTGCTCGGTCTCTGTTCTGATGTCTTGAGTTGGATGCATGAGTTGACTGTTTTGAGTGAGTGGTCGAGCCAAGTCTGGGTTGGTTGGTGAACAGAAGGGAAACTCTTCCGTTGCTCGATTTTGCTGCACTCGAATGTCCTTTGTGGTGGTTGTTCAGGTTGCTATTAAAGTTGTTCATGTGTTGATGCTTGAAAACCAGTTTGATTCACATGTTCTGTGCCTTTATGACTTGTCCCCAATGTTGGTTGATTGAAATATGTGAGCTTACCTTGTGTAGTACTTGGTTTGCTTGGGGACAAGCAAACAGTTAAGTGTGGGGGAATTTGATAGCATCGTATTTGCACGTGTTTTCACTCTGGTTTCCTGCCCATTTTGGCTCGAATTGATTGTTCCTTGGCCTATTTTACGCTAGGTTGTGTTCCTTTGTCACATTTCAGGTCCTAGCACATAAAGTGAAGCATAGGCGCAAGTTTCAAGTCAATCAGAGAAATTGGCGATTCGGGAGAAGAAACTCTGGCATGACCTGAAGAAGAATGGATTTCTACCTCACTTTATGGACAAAGAATCATTCAAGCTTGTCATGAAAAGAAAGAGGACGAGACTACGAGCGTCTGGGATCAAACGGCGACTGATTCGGAGTCCGGACGAGGGAGAAACGAAGCATTGAATATAGGGGAACAGGTTCGACAGTAAAAACACGGGCAGGAGGCCTTCAAAACACGGCCGTGTTCTGTGACCGTGCTTTTACTGCCGAGAGCAAATCCGAGTTTGGCAGACATGAGCTGATTACACGGGCAGGGCCGAGACAAAGCACGGGCGTGTTTTCACCAAAGCACGGCCGTGTTCTCCCTAAAGCACGGCCGTGTTTTCACCAACATGTGGCCGTGTAATTAACCATAGCCAAAGCACGGGCGGGCTGAGGCAAAGCACGGCCGTGCCCTCGACAGTGCTTTGGCCAGTGATGCCCTTTTAGGCGGATTTTCAGCCAAAGAGAGGGGAATTGGATTTTCTGGGCAAAAACAGAGTTTTAGAGAGAGAAAGAGCGAAGAACAAACCCTAGGAGCTGATTTGGAGTGGATTTAGCATCATTGAAGCCCAGATTGCGTCCCTAGGAGTGAAGATTGACATCCCAGAGCAGATTTTCCTCATCTTTATGAGTATGACTACTCTGATTTCTGTTTTCTCTTCTCTCTCTATGGAGTAGAACCTCTCTCTCACTTGGGTATGAAGAACCCTAGTTCCTGATGTTAGGGTTTTGATTGTAATGACTTGGGATGATATTATTGTTTGATTTTAATCGAATGACGCATGTTTCATGAATTGATTGGAGTCTGATCAGCTTGTTTCAATTTCTGCTTCAACCTGAGATAGATAGAATCTGATTAGGTTGTTAGAGCTTCTTCATTCGATAGTAGGAGATTGGCTATACGAGAGTTAGCCAGTTTACTGCTTTGTACTGGTGTTCTTAACGCCAGTAGTGGAGTTCTGTGTTTATAGCCTCAGCTTTCTATCCCGGTGAAGATTAGTCGTCTGCCGGGTAGTTAGACTGAGAGGGCTTGGTCAGCTTAAGAGATTCCAAGCTACTGTCGGATCTTCCGCAGTCTAATCAACAGTAAATCAACCCAGGGAATTGCAATTGAACCTAACTAAGGGGCTAGGGGGACTCAATCCCGAGTGACTCTTAACTGCTTTTGAAAACCGAACTATTTACTGCTTTCTTACTGCTTTTGCTTTAAACAACTCACTCGACTTAGTTTGCTAGATAATAGAGAATCACGGAGTAAGCAGTAGATCTAGACCCCGGGTTGATAATTAAACTTGCCTATGCTGCAGTCCCTTTCAGTGGTTACACTTGGCCATTGTTAGGTGTTGTGTTTTGGCGTGTCAACCCCTCTTCTTGCTTACGGCAGCAATCCTCTAAAATTCTGATGATTAGCAGCTGCAATTAGGTGATAACTCAAACTGTGACAAGATGCTAGAAATGTCATGGAATGAATACTCGTAAAATTATACATAGCTTTCTCTCATGAACTCTCTTTTAAATGTTCAAGGATTGTACTCACCATGCGATAATGAAAGCAAGAATGATCAGCAACATGTAACCCAGCCCACATTTTGGATTGCTCAGTTCCTGTATCACCTGGAAAAGCAATTTTTGCTTAAGCTGGCAGATAGGATACCTAGATAAAGCAGCTCATAGATGACTGTGAAATGCATCAGCAGGTATGAACCAAAATACCCAAAAAAGTTTTAGAATGAGAATGTATAAACACCAGGAGAAAGTTAAAAAAAAAAGCTGCCCAATTCAAGACAGTGGGCTGAAATTCTTACATACTAGTCATACATGAGGGTCAAGTTGTCATGACGTTATAGATAATAAAACTTGCCCAATCTAAGAAACGAACCTGTTCTCTATCCATGTAAGAAACCAACCAGCAGCGGTGATTCCATGCACGATAGTTCATCTTTGATCTCTGCATAGATAGCAAGGCAAAAAAAGTTTAGAGTAGCGGTCAATAGCACACACGCCCAAGAATTAGTAAACCAGAGCTGTGTTCAAAGCCACTAGTATGGAGTGAAAAATGAAAGTCTAACAATACATGCATACACCTAGTCATGTCTGGAAAGATCCCACAATCAAACATGAAATTAATAAACTTCAAAGATAATGCTTTCATTTCCCCCTTTTCTTTTCCAATTTTTAAAATTTCGTAATGCAATTGTCACGGAAATAGTATGCTTCTTTAGTATTAGAAGTTGTTAAACCTTCATGAATCACTATTATGCAGTTCTTGAAATTAATATAAACCTATGCTATCTTCTCCACCAGGTCAGATTCTTCCCTCAGAATCTCTTGCAAAGTTGTACGATTTTTGGCCATATTCTTGATCACCCACCTCCTGCTAAAAAGCAAAGGAAAAATGCATAGAACAAGTTAACAACTCATGAAGTTCAGAAGATAAACAACACAGGAAGAGAATCAACTAGTACTTCATAGATATTACCTATGGCTCCATGCTTGCTCGCTCTTGGGTGAATACGAATGGACAAGGGCAGACAAGCGGAGCTCGTCAGTGAACATCGACGCTTGTGTCTTCTTCGATACGATTAACTTTCTGCCATTTGCATCAAGAACAGTCATTCATAAAAATAAAATAAAAACAAGAACAGAGGGGCACATTGGGCATAAACAAGCTGCAACTAAAGGGTTTAAAACACAGGTGCGAATCTACCATTTCCGGATCATAATGATTCAAATAAACCAGACCCGTATAAATATAGAAAATTTCAAATTGGTTACCTGGAATTCCAAGCAGTCCCGAAATCAGGGCTTAACAACACAAGTGCTTTGTTGCATTTCATAACCACAATTCCTAGAGCTTCAGCAGAAGGAAGAGATAGGTCGCTGAGTTTCTTGTATTCTGCAATTGCATTCATGAATTGTTCTCTGGCAGCCTTGTACAAGCGGAGAACAACCTCCGAAGAAATGCCCAGTTTGTGATCTCGAATCCAGAAGCTCCCATCTCCACCATCCAGCGCATCCGAGGCTTCCGATCGTGAGCTACCAGCTTCAGGATCTTTCTCCAATGTCGCAAATTGCGAAGGGTGAATGAACCCTACTTTGTTGCTGAGCACGAAGGAGCACCAAAGCAGCCGGAAAAAAAAATTGAACATAGGGTTGAGCGAATAAATTGAACGAAGGGGAAACTTCCTGAATCGAATTTGATGACGGTGCTTACACGAGGGGATCGGAATCGAGAATGTATTCGAATTGATTCAACAATTCCGACATGGCTTCATTCTGAATAGTACCTTCAGGCTTCATTCATCATTACGAGCTTCATTCATTCATCATAGGGTTTTCACGACAATCATTAGTGAGACTAGAGTTAGTTACACTACGACAACAGGGAAGATCGATGGCTCTGATGAACGTTGGGAAAGATGGGAAAAGGTAATTGACTCTTTGTCTATTGTGAAGTTTTGTATGTTTATTATTTTAAACTTTGAATTGATTCAAATATTATTATTTTTTTTGTAGTCGGATAGAGTGGCTAAGAACATTAGGAAGTATGGTTGCCCGGAGTATCCAAAACTTTGCATTGTCTATGGGGATACTACCGCTACTGGAAACGATGCACTACCTTCTACACGGGAGATTATAGACAGCAGCAGTGAGGATCATAGTAAGGAGAAAGTTTCTGAAAGTAATATGGATAAGACAACTGAACTTTCAAAGGAATTGAAGGGCAAAGCAAATTCTAAAGGGAAAAAGAGAAAAGCAGTTAGATCAACCTTCTCTTCTACCATTGAGAAGGCAATAGTTGACATGGCTGATTTGGCAAAAATGAAGAATGAGATGCGTATGGCTTCTCAAGCCAACTCTTCTATTAGAGGTCCAGTGAATGAAGTAACTTCACCTGATAAGGATTTAGATATCATGACTGAATGCATGAAGGTTTTGGATGATTTGGATGTGGATGCTGATATTTTTGTGAAGGCTTTAGATATTTTACATGACCAGCCATTAAAAAGAGGGCTTTTCTTACGCATGACGGAGAAGAGAAGGATGGAGTGTTAGGAAGTCTGGTTTGATGTTTGCTAACGTTTGCTTGAAAAGAGGGCTTCATTTGATGATGATGTGTTTTAGAGTTCAAGTTTGAGTATTTACGTTTGCTGTATGTTTTATGGAGCTTTGTTTATTTCATGTATCTGTGGCCATTTTATGGTTACTAAACAGGGTTATGTGAGCTTGTATTTTGGATTAAGTTTGTTTAAGTGTTTGTTTGATCAAGTATTATGTATTTGAAGTTTGTTTGTGCATTTTCTAATTCGAATATATTATCTATGCATAAACGGAATGGCAAATTCTGATACAGATTCTGATGATGAGATGCATAGAAATCTGATAATATATTTGGCATTGTTGGAGAATGAGAGATTGAATTTGCCTAAAGAACCATGTAGAAACTCAAAATTGCCAGGACATCAATGGGTTCAAGAACTTTTGCGTGGTGATCCGATTAGGATATATGAAGAAATACGAACTTATAAAGAAACATTTATTGCTTTATGCGATGAATTGAAACAACAAGGATTGTTGGAATCTACCAAGAGAGTCATTGTTGAAGAACAAGTGGCAATCTTCCTACGAACTTTAGGTCATGCCATAGACTTTAGGTCACTCTACAACCACCATCTCTAAGTACTTCGGTAAAGTATTGAAAGCAGTGGTGAAGCTTTCAAACAAGTACATTGTTCCCCAAATTTCGATAAAGTTCCTGAAAAAATAGTTGGTTCAAAATATGAACCATATTTTGAGGTAAATTAGGTTACTTTCCTTTATAGTTGGTTCAACAATTTTATATCATGTTCATCTAACATTATCTATTTTGTAACTTAGAGCTGCATTGGGGCAATAGATGGAGTGCATATTGATGCATCTATTCCAACCAGCGAGCAAATACCATTCCGAGGGCGAAAGACAACAACTACTCAGAATGTGATGGTTGCATGTTCTTTCGACATGCTTTTCACCTATGTAATGGCAGGGGGGGATGAGTTCAGGTCCTTAAGACTAGAAACTTAAGAAGAATCTTAAGTGATTTCTATTGGCTGAAAGTATTTAAGGTAGTTGATACTTGCTTAATGGTTACGGGGTAGTTAAGGATAATTATGGTATTAGAGTATTATTAAATTAATTACTGGAGAGAGTGGCCGGATTTTAAGGAGTTCATTATGTTAGGTTTTTTATTTTATTTTTTTCAATACTTTTATCATGCGTGTCTCTAATACTGCAGCCGACTGTGGCGGTCGAGTAATCTCGAGCTGCTGATGGATGGGGAAGTGGAGAAGGAAAGGAGGGAGGCATAAAAATGGGAGAATACTCCTCCGGCGCATCAATATTAGGCACTACCATAATTAAAGTTTGGACTAGAATTATCAACATTTTAACATGATGTTGCCAACGACAAAGTAATCAACGAATGATAATTGCTTATCATTTAAATTATTAATAATCCATCCAATTTTATTAACAATATTCCCTCCCCACCAGTAGTTAAATTAGTCAATCTCTCATGATTTGTTTGGAATTTAGCCAAAATTTTGAGGTTCAGATTGAGAGGCTAAGAATTGTGAATTGTGGATGGATAAATTAATGATAGCTTGTGTTAGATGTATTTTTTATGTTAAATATTAACAAATTCGTTTTTTTTTGAACGAAATCAAACATTGTTTTTAATAATTTAATTTTTTTCACACTTATCATTGAAGAATAATGATTTTGTATTGAGTTTCAACAAAATACAAATTCATGATCAATGAATTGCATAATTTTTATTACAATTTTCAATATCAGTATTAATAACATGTTGCAATTTTTTAATATTGAAAACAGTCATCCTAGTTAAAAAAATATGTTGCAAATGAATGATAATGTTATTGAAAATGTTAATGATTATGTTTGTCATTTTAAGGATAGATTATAAGCATTATTATTTTTGTAAGGAGTTATTAATAACACATAGTATGGTTAATAACCATTAAATCCCATCACTATTAACGTGTTTTCTTTGCATTTGAAAGAGACATATCTTAGTTATTAATAATTTGCAATGTCGCTATTAACGGTTGGAGTCATTTTTTAATGTTAATGTTTTGTTTTATTTTCGAATGAATATGAAAGTTTTGGATGATATTTGGTACTTAACATTGAGTGCTGACATTATTAATGTTTTGATGCTTATTTTCAATGAAATACAATTCTTTTATCAATCAATTGAGTATCAATTATTTTGTTTGATTTTAGCTTTTAATAGTTTTTATGTCTTTATCAATATTTCGAGAAGAAAATTATTAATAATATGCACTATGGTATTATTCATTTAGATGCAATCATTATCAATGATGTTGCTTGTATTTTTAACGCCAACACAACTTAGTTATTAATGATTAAGGGTGTCATTATCAATATTTTGATGTAAACATTTATAATATTAATAATAATTAATAATACATTTATTATCAATAATAATTAATAATACATTAACAAATGTTAATAATAACATTTCAAATATTAATAATGATATTAAAAGTCGATATAGAAAAGGAAAGTGGGCAATTTTTATTTTAAAATTCCCTTTTTAAAACATTAAATATCATTTTCGAATTTATATTTTTAATTTCCATATTAAATAGTTGTCGAATTTAGGAGAGAGATGATTTTCTTTTAATTAATAATACATTAATTAGTAATTATATTTCATTTCTATCATTGCAGGTAGTTAGCCAATGATTAATAATGATTATCTCTCTCCTCCTCCTATTGGTTGGAATAGTTTTAAGATCCTCCTTAAGAAATGTGGCTTAAGGACCGGATCTGACCCGATGGCCGGGTGGGAGGGCACGACAAATGATTCTAGGATTCTTGCTAAAACAGTTTCTAATCCAGGGAATAAATTTTCAATGCCGCCGAGGTATGTAATGAATAATTTTTATATCTATATAGATCGCAAATTTAGTGGATAACTAATTGACTTCTAAAAATTTTCTAGGTAAATATTATGTTGTTGATTCTGGATATTCAAACATGCCTGGATTTTTAGCACCCCACCGGATAAGAGAATCTTATCATTTCCAAGAGATTAACCGTGCAGGTGGCCCAAAAAATCGTAAACAATTGTTTAACTTTTACCATTCGTCCCTACGCAACGTTATTGAGCGTTGTTTTGGAGTTTTGAAAGCTAGGTTTCCAATTCTAAAACATATGCCTAACTTCCCATTCAAGAAGCAAGCGCAAATTGTTATAGCTACTTGTGTGCTACATAACTTCATCAAGATCCATTGTGATGAAGACGTCTTGTTTGACGAATACCAACAGTGTGATGTAGAAGTCCAGGGAGTACAACAAACTGAAGTGTATGATGTCGGTTCAACTCAAACTCGGGCAATGGAAATTCGACGTGATGAAATCGTAGACAAGTTGTGGAATGACTTGCAAGCATGAGTTATTTGATGTTTTCACTTATTTGTATTTGTTATTGTAGTTGTACTTCCTAAAATATTTGGTTGATGTAGTAGTATTTTGTTTATTTGTTTGAAACAAGATTGTCATTGAAAACAGAAATCAGTTTGTAATAACTGTATCTAAACAAGTTTTCATTTCCAGAACTCTCTAAATTCTCAGTTAAACAAGTTTTCTTCAGATTTCGTTTCCCAGGAAATGACAGATTCCTTTTCTATAAATTCCCTTTTCTGTTGTCCAGAAAACAAAAAACAGAATGAATACTAAGGCCCTATGCTGATTGTTGACGACTTCCCTTCCCCTCCCCTCCCCTCTCTTTTTCTTCACTACTCCTCGCCGAAAACAGAAAAAAATAATACCATACGCAACTCGCATCGCCGATTGGATTGGGAACAAACACACAAAAAACAAACAGAGACCGACAAAAAAATTCAGCAACCACTGAATCACTTTGACTACCCTATTCGTTTTCTACCAGAGATTGCAGATGTAATTACGTGCCAACAAAATGGAAGACGAAAAGGAATTTGCAGGCCAAAATAGCACGCGGAGATTTAGGCAGACTGAGAAAGCGAGATCAGGTTTAACTCGCAACTCTCGGCTCGCCGAATGAAAAACGAAATTGAAGCGCGAGAAACACTTACATACAGAAGAATTGAATAACAAGACGCAATCACATAGATCTCGGACAGTAGACATATATATGTGCGGGGGGGGGGGGGGAAGTAGGGAGGGGGGTCGATTTGATTACCAAATCCACGGTCTCGTTCTTGATTTCCTCCAGGCTGATGTTCTTCGCCATCTTCGCACTAATTAGGAGCGAGAAGCGGTGCTGGGAGTGTTATCGGAGAGGAGTAGAGGGAGTTGGGAGGGGGGATGAAGCTGCAGCAGCAGGTGGATTCAGTAAGAAAGGGAAGAGTTGTTAAAGAGCTATTAATATTAATAAGGGGAGGAGAGGAGAGGGGAGGGGAGACCTCAAACTTGTCAATGGAAACGACCAGTACAGGGAGGACTCAGTGGAGGCCGCGCAGCCAAGAGCCAGAGCCAGAGCCAGAGCAGCGTTGGGAAGAGAGGTAATCAGAGTCTAGAAGAGAAAGCCTGAGATAGAAGCACCCGCTTTCCGACGCCTCTCCTTTTATATATCTTTTTAGATTAGAAGAATAGGCGTAGAGGCGCCGGAAAGCGGGCACTCGTGTAAGCACCGTCATCAAATTCGATTTAGGAAGTTTCCCCTTCGTTCAATTTATTCGCTCAACCCTATGTTCAATTTTTTTTTCCCGGCTTCTTTGGTGCTCCTTCGTGCTCAGCAATGAAGTAGGGTTCATTCACCCTTCGCAATTTGCGACATTGGAGAAAGATCTTGAAGCTGGTAGCTCATGATCGGAAGCCTCGGATGCGCTGGATGGTGGAGATGGGAGCTTTTGGATTCGAGATCACAAACTGGGCATTTCTTCGGAGGTTGTTCTCCGGTTGTACAAGGCTGCCAGAGAACAATTCATGAATGCAATTGCAGAATAAAAGAAACTCGGCGACCTATCTCTTCCTTCTGCTGAAGCTCTAGGAATTGTGGTTATGAAATGCAGCAAAGCACTTGTGTTGTTAAGCCCTGATTTCGGGACTGCTTGGAATTCCAGGTAACCAATTTGAAATTTTCTATATTTATACAGGTCTGGTTGATTTGAATCATTATGATCCGGAAATGGTAGATTCGCACCTGTGTTTTAAACCCTCTAGTTGCAGCTTGTTTATGCCCAATGTGCCCCTCTGTTCTTGTTTTTATTTTATTTTATTTTTATGAATGACTGTTCTTGATGCAAATGGCAGAAAGTTAATCATATCGAAGAAGACACAAGCGTCAATGTTCACTGACGAGCTCCGCTTGTCTGCCCTTGTCCTTTCGTATTCACCCAAGAGCGAGCAAGCATGGAGCCATAGGTAATATCTATGAAGTACTAGTTGATTCTCTTCCTGTGTTGTTTATATGCTGAACTGCATGAGTTGTTAACTTGTTCTATGCATTTTTTCTTCGCTTTTTGGCAGGAGGTGGGTGATCAAGAATATGGCCAAAAATCGTACAACTTTGCAAGAGATTCTGAGGGAAGAATATGACCTGGTGGAGAAGATAGCAGAGGTTTATATTAATTTCAAGAACTGCATAATAGTGATTCATGAAGGTTTAACAACTTCTAATACTAAAGAAGCATACTATTTCCGTGACAATTGCATTACGAAATTTTAAAAATTGGAAAAGAAAAGGGGGAAAAGAAAGCATTTGAAGTTTATTAATTTCATGTTTGATTGTGGGATCTTTCCAGACATGACTAGGTGTATGCATGTATTGTTAGACTTTCATTTTTCACTCCATACTAGTGGCTTTGAACACAGCTCTGGTTTACTAATTCTTGGGCGTGTGTGCTATTGACCGCTACTCTAAACTTTTTTTGCCTTGCTATCTATGTAGAGATCAAAGATGAACTATCGTGCATGGAATCATCGCTGCTGGTTGGTTTCTTACATGGATAGAGAATAGGTTCGTTTCTTAGATTGGGCAAGTTTTGTTATCTATAACGTCATGACAACTTGGCCCTCATGTATGACTAGTATGTAAGAATTTCAGCCCACTGTCTTGAATTGGGCAGCTTTTTTTTAACTTTCTCCTGGTGTTTATACATTCTCGTTCTAAAACTTTTTTGTGTATTTTGGTTCATACCTGCTGATGCATTTCACAGTCATCTATGAGCTGCTTTATCTAGGTGTCCTGTCTGTCAGCTTAAGCAAAAATTGCTTTTCCAGGTGATACAGGAACAGAAGCAATCCAAAACGTGGGTTGGGTTACATGTTGCTGATCATTCTTGCTTTCATTATCGCATGGTGAGTACAATCCTTGAACATTTAAAAGAGAGTTCATGAGAGAAAGCTATGTATAATTGCAGCGGCTAATCTTCAGAATTTTAGAGGATTGCTGTCGTAAGCAAGAAGAGGGGTCTTGTGATTCTTGTGTTGAAGTTTATCTGATCTGGCAGGTATAATGTCTGAACTTTCATATTCACTGCCATCATTTATTAACTCTTTTGCAATTAATCGAGATTGCACAATTTGTGAGTTAATAACTCTGATGCTGCTGTTTCTATCAGGAGGAGCTTGACTGGAATGAAGAATTAATAAAGCGTTATTTAGGAAGGGAGGTATTTTTCTCAAGCCCATTTAAAATATGTGAATATAGGGGATCTTGACAAACATGAAAATCGATTACTGCGTTCTGCAAATTAAAGTAGTTGTGGAATTGTTTCTTATCACTTTGTTTCCATTGTAACCTGAGTTTCCTCCAAAGCTAACTCCCACCCCAAATCCCTTTTTGTTCACAGGCTCTATGGCTCTACCGTCGCTTTCTCTCCTTATTATGGATAAGACATTTCACAAGCGATATCAACGACGTGTCTTCCTCACAAAAAAGCCAATCTAGCATCCAAGTGAACGTCAGTGTGTTTTTGGATAAGGAGTTGCTCCTCGTCAATTCATGCTCGGAAGGAAGTGATGATGAGTTTGAAGATTTTGAAGAACAAGCAATTTGTTCAGCATCTTACATGTTATGGTTGACAAAGGTAACAAAATGTCTAGTTATAGTTGTTAATTGTTTTGGTTTCGTCAGGTGAACTAATTGCCTTGTGGGAATCTCTTTTGTACAGCAAATCCCTGAAACCCAGAAGTTAGAACTGAGGGAGAAGATAGAGAATGAGAGCCTGGACGCCATGTTGAAGTTGGTGTCCCTGAGAGGTCCTCCATTTGGGGCTATCTAAGATTAGTAAGTCTATTTGGCTGCCATGTACGCTGGAAGTGGATGGTATTAAGTTGTTGGACGAAGTGTAAAGGTAACAAACTACAGTAACAAATAACTGAATAGTTGTCCACTTAAAAATGATCATGATTTCGCTCGTCTTTGTTTTGTCAAATGACTCAAAACATGAATGGGCGGCGTTGCAGTTACAGCTGGAAGAATTTATGTTACCCCGAGTCCCATTCCTTTTCGCGTGGTAAGTACAAGGCCCAGCCCAGCAAACCAGAACATGAGTCAAAAACTGCAGTTTTGGGGGATGACGGGAAGGGTATGTGCTTCAGCAATGTTCCCATGCTCAATCTCTTCTTCGACCTTTCATACGTACGTACGGGCACGGCTGTATCTATTGAGAGAGTTACAATTTACAAACGAACGTAAAGCTCTCTGACAGGCTGACATACAACGTACTCGGGTCGACGGCGGCCCCACAACGAACACATCGGATACGAGAGGGAGAGGCCCGTTTTGGAAGTGGGTGGGCACCACGGTCTACCACTTGACTTACGTACGGGATAACTAGATGGAGTATGAAACCAGTCCAGCGTTCAAGCCCAGCTTGTTCATTGTTAATAAGATCGATCCTAAATGTCTAGTCCATTGATTCTGCGAATATATCTTACTAATGGAGCAATCCAGCCTCGATATTGTTTTTCTAGTTAACCTCCTACGGATTTAATTTTAAGTATATTCTCTAAAAGATTTCGTACTAATTTGGACTAGATGAACACGTATATAAAAGGCTTTTTTTGGGGTTAATTGCAAGGATGGTCACTGGGTTTACTAAAACCGTTCATGTTTGGTCACTGAAAATATTTAATTCCATTCATGGTCACTAAGATTAGTTCAATAGTTCAAGTTTGGTCACTCTCCGTTAGTCTCCGTTAGTTTTTGCTGATGTGGCAGTCAACTATTATAGTTGACCGTTAAATGAGTGACGTGGCCATTAAAAAATAATAAAATAATAAAATTTAAATATTTGCAATTTCCATCTCATTTTACAACTATTAAAATAAAAATAAAACTTACCTCCTTACATACTCCGCTCCTCCTAGAAATCAATAGTGACCATTCCCTCAATTTTCCATCACAACTGTCCATTTCCCCTCCTCTGTCCCTATTCTCAATCTTTCCTCTCTCGCCATGAGAGGATTCCCAGAATTCTACCACTTCTCCTCCTCAACAACATCCACCATCACCTACGCCTTCCACGATGAAGCCACCCAACCGCTGCCGCCGTTGACCAAGCAAATTCCCATCCACTCCACCAAACCACCATCCACCGACACCAGATCCGCCTCCGCCGCTGCGACCAAAATCCAGGCGGCGTACCACGCCCGCGCAATCCGCCTACTCTACCGCATGATCTCGGCCGTGGACGCCGAGTCAGGGGAGATAGAGCGGCGGATCCAGCGGCAGGAGACGGTGGACGCAGTGAGGAGGGAGGAGAGGGAGAAGGCGAGGGTGAACGAGGAGCTGATGCGGCTGCTGATGAGGCTGGACGCCGTCCCCGGGTTTGATCCGACGGTGAGGGAGGCGAGGAGGAAGAGCGAGTCGAGAGTCGAGGATTGGGACTGGGACGGCGGTGGCGGCGGGGAATTTTGTTGGGATCGGACGGTGGCGGAGATGGAGGAGCGAGTGTGTAGGGAGGTAAGTTTTATTTTTATTTTTAATAGTTGTAAAATGAGGTGGAAATTGTAAATATTTAAATTTTATTATTTTATTATTTTTTAATGGTCACGTCAGTCATTTAACGGTCAACTATAATAGTTGACTGCCACATCAGCAAAATCTAACGGAGAGTGACCAAATTTGAACTATTGAACTAATCTTAGTGACCATGAATGGAATTAAATATTTGCAGTGACCATCCTTGCAATTAACCCCATTTTTTTTGTATTTTTGATGTGGTACTTGAATTGCCTCACAACAATCCTTCTCTCAAGATAAGAACCACGAACTTCGTGTCCTCTCCTTAGCGATTATTGATCAGTCAACACTTTCCTCGACAAAAGGATTTACCAAATGTATATCCCCATTGATATGCTAGACATACACAGATCTCCTTTGATTTGCCAAACATAAGCAAATCTCAAATCATGAGGTCACCCAATGAGGGTCTCACCAAACTGACGCCCATCGTCCTGGATCCGCATTCTAATCCAGGCTCTGATACCACTTGTTGAGACTTAATAGTTCCATTAGTATGATATTGTCCCCTTTGGACCAGCCCACATGAATTTACTTTTGGTATCCTCCCCAAATGGCCTATTACTAATTGCTCTAGGTGGACCCTAATATACAAGGGTCTTTTTCCTTGTATTTTCGATGTGTACTTGGATTGTACCATAACAATCCTCTCCTCAAACGCAAATCTCCTTTGATCTGCCAGACAAACGTGAATATCTCTTGATTCACCAAACAAACGCGGATCTCAAATCTCGCAGTCATCTAATGAGGGTCCACCAAACCAACGCCCACCACCTCGAATCAAAACCGAACCAAACTCTAATTTCACTTGTCGAAATTGGATAGCTCAATATTGTCCGCTTTGAACCAAACCTGCACAAATTTACTCTTGAGTTCCTTTCCAAACGACCTTGTACTAATTGCGTTAATGTGATACTTTGATTATCTCACAATCACCTAATTAAGCATCATGAAACATATAAATGGGAGTAGTAGATTATATTATGTCATCCAAATTTGAAGGGCCTTAAGATCTCCAGCAAGGCGCGATATGCACATCTGCGGCCACAGAGATAGTAGTTAAGGCCCTCTCTGGATTTCCCATTGTTGTTTGTCACTTTCTCCTCCCCCCTCCATTCCTCTCTCTGGTATATTCTTCTTTACAATCACAATCACAACCACCCAAATATTTACCAACTCAGGGGTCGTTTGGAAGTTGCGATAGTTTTGTTGAGATTGTCATTATGCATGTATTGTTTACAATGCATCGTTTTTTTTGTTTTTTTAGCAGAAACAATACATGGATTGTTTCTGTACGTGATGTGACAGAAACTATCACTCATTTTGAGTGATTTTTATATCTCAACTTTTAGTTGTGATTGTTGAGATAGTTGAGTTGAGATTGTTTTGTCTCAGATTTTAGCTGATGCGACATACACAATCACACATACCAAACGTTGTATTCTACAATGCATCAAATTCGACAATACATGTATAATATTATACATGCATTCTCAACAATACATCTATTTAACAATCGCAACTTCCAAACGACCCCTTAATTACTATGCACTACCCAAAACTTTGTTTCCCCTTCCTTTCTTCCCAATATATCGCAATTGCCTTACAAGTTGAAGTCATCAAATACCTAGCTACTAATCTTAAAGTACCAAGTCATCTCAATAAATCGCAAGTTAATGTTATACATAACGTTTGATAAAAACTTTAATGGTTGAAAGGTCATGTCTTCAAACTGTACGATTCGCAGACCGACTTTCCATTGGTCTTTTCTCTGTCTCTGGAGAGCTTCTCTGTTCTATCACTCCCTTTTCAGTGGTGATATTTCGTCTTCCTACAATCTTGGAGGACCCTTGGTTTCCTTCATCTTGTGATTCCTTGATTTCTTTCTGCTGTCTCAGTCCCTTCGTTTCCCTCTAATCTCAGTCGTGTTCTCTCCCTGCCCTGTTGGTCTACTCCCTGTCTTCTCCCCTGGGGGCGGAGTGAGTACGCCTTCTGCTTTGCTCTGACCTCTGTTATCACAATGGAAAACGATTTAGCAAATAAGCTCTCTTGCATGGAATTGACGGAAGATGAAGAAACGATTATCGGTTTGGAAGACACGGTAACTACGAATGGCGTGGAAGAAGTGATAAAAGAATTGGGGCTTGCTGGAAAGGTTATTATAGGAAAGAAGACTTCGATCTACAAGTGACTAAAGAAGACTTTGATCTTAAAGTGACTAAAGAAGACATACTCAGCATCCAACTCTACTGCTATGACGACAAGAACAAAATCCTCTTTGGAGGATCGTGGCATCTGGAACGTCAACTCTTAATTTTCAAGGAAGTACCACCAGACTTGGATCTATCAAAACTAGACTTCTCTTGGACTGATTTCTGGGTTCGAATAAGAAAGTTCCCGGTGAATATGAGGAATCCCCAGATGGCTGAAAAGGTCGGAACTATGTTTGGCAGGTTTATTCGTTGGGATGAGTTGCACTCAGGAATTTCCAGCGAGTACATGAGAATCAGGGTTTCATTATGTACACAAAAACCGCTGAGAAGAGTGGTCAAAATCCAAAGCAGGAATGGTCCAGTTTCTTACAGGGTTGGATATGAAAGAATGTCAATATACTGCTTCAAGTGTGGCCTTCTGGGACATCTTAAAAGATCATGCCTCCTACGGTTGCCGGTGGAAGAAACTGAGAAAACAGAAGACCCTTATGGACCTTGGATGAGAGCTGAATCTCCTCTGAGGAAGTTATCACTAAAAGAAAAGAGAAATCACAGCTGTTGTCAAAGCTATGGTTAGATGTGTAAGAGGGAAAAATTGTGAACCAGAAGAAAGTCCTTGCGGAAAGGGAGGTTGTTAAGCAAGTTGAAGAGCTATCTGAGGGACTGCTGATTACTAATGTGCATGAATCTGAACCATTCAAGTCGTTAGATGGGAAAGTAAGCTTTGAGGAAAGTGTGTTAAATCAAAATCTTACTGAAGAGCAGAATGTGGTTCTACAGGAAGAGAAAAGGGCAGAAATAGAAGATGTTGAGAAAGAAGCCAAAGGAAGAAGTGGAGAGGAAGTAAACATAAGTAAAGAAGTCAGAAATTGTGGAAAGAAATGGCAAAGAATGGTAAGGAAAACTCTCGGGGATAAACAACCAGACCAAGGAAGAATGGATATGGGAAAGCGTAGATTTCCTGATGAAATGGATATTGATGAGGCTCCTCTTGGAGAAAAGCGACAGAAACCCTTCTCAAACCCTGAACTGGATGGCGAATTGGCGGCCCTTGCCGAGGAGCAAGGCCGCCTAGCCCAATGAAAATCCTTAGCTACAACCGTCGAGGATTGGGCAGCTCCTCGGCAGTTGCTAAACTTAAAAGACTGCTCCGGAAGCAACAACCTGATGTTATTTTTCTAATGGAGACTAGAAAGGATGAAAGCGGGTGGAAAGATATTCAGCGTAAGCTAGGTTATTCAGGTGGATATGGGGTGGCGGCGAGAAACGACAAGGGATGGAAAGCTGGTGGTCTATGTATGCTGTGGAATGATGAGGTCTCGGTAACCAAAATCACTGCTACACTTCATCATATTGATGTCTTAGTTGGTCAAGGAGAAGGAGAAGCAAAATGGAGGCTTACTGGTTTATACGGGTGGCGGATAAGGAAGAAAGGTTCTAATCATGGGACCTGCTCAGGGATTTAAAAAACGGCTGCTCTTTGCCGTGGGTTTGCATCGGAGATTTCAATCAAGTCCTTTAAGGAGAAGAAAAGAGGGTGGTAGACTTATAAATGAAAATCAGGCTATGGAGTTCAGAGAAGCTCTTGAGTTTTGTGGTCTTCTTGACTGTGGTTTTAGTGGTTATCCATTTACTTGGGAAAATAGCAGAGCAGATGAAGGTTTCATAGAGGAGAGACTTGACAGATGTGTTGCAAGTTGGGACTGGAAATCGGCTTTTCCTGACCACCAGGTTCTCCATTTGGATCGTAGTGGATCTGATCATTGTCCTATCATGCTATATACGGCTGGGAAAGAAGAAGAAGAGATTAAATGGGGGAGGTATTTTCGAGTTGAACCCTTCTTGTTGAAGGATCCAGAAAGTGCGGCTATCATTAGCAGGATTTATAATGAAAATGCAAATGAAAATCTATTATCCATCCTATCTATCTGCAGGTCTGAACTCCTAAGCTGGAGCAAGAGGAAGTTTGGAGATATAAGGAGGAAAATTGAGAAGATTGAGAAGATTCTTACTTCTTTTAAGTACAAGCCTAAACTGAGCAGATGTTGGAACAAAGAAAAGCTCTGGAAACTAAAAGAAGCGAGCTGATTCAACAGGAGGAAGAGTTGTGGAAACAACGTTCCAGGCTTGATTGGATGAAGGGAGGGGATAAGAATACTAAATTCTTCCATGCTAAGCCCACATCTAGGCGCAAAAGAAACCCTATAAAGCTGTTAAGGGATGAAAGTGGCAGGGTTTTCAAAGGTCGGAAGGAAGTCTCGGCTTGCATAAATGATTACTATAAATCCCTTTTCAGGAAAGGTATGTCTCCCAGTTCTAACTTGGTGATAAATGCTTTAAAAAGAAGGGTTACCCACTGATAGACCAATAATTACACCTGTTTTTACCCCTATTCTTGAGCCGTTTGAGAGGTTGATTCTCGTGTTTTAAGCCGATTTCACGCGATGTTGTGCGTTTATGTCATATTTCAGGGCCCGGCGTTGGAATCGAGGCGAAGGAACGAGATTCGGGTCAAAAGGAGCAAGTGAGGTTTGAAGTGTGCTGGAGAGCAAAAATACCCGGCCATGAGCAGAAATACCCAGTCGGGTATTATCTGGCCATGACCGGGGATCTGACACTTTGGGCGTCCGTGAGAAACAGAAGGGGGCCCGGGCAGGAAGCTAAAATCCCCGGTCGAGGATTCTTAGGGCAGACCGGGGATTTTCTTCTGCTCCCAAAATGCGCGTTTCGATTATAACCGGTCGAGACCCAAAATACCCGACCGAGTATTTCGACCGG